TCGGGTTTCCTCACAGATGCATATAGTCTTTAACCCACTTTCATGCAGATTGCAATGTGTTGCTGATTTGTACTAATATAATCAGCCATAAGTGCCTTATTCATGGAAAAGAAAAATTCGCGGGCATACGATACACACAGAGATCACTGTTTACCTCACTTGAAAGGATGAAAGAAACCCGAGCTAGAATATTAACCTGAAACGTTTTGACAGGCTGCACTCGAGCGACTGAGCTAATACAGGTAAAGCTAAATTTAGTACATAGCTGTGACAGCTATTATGAATGACAAACGTTCGGCTAGGAAGTCGTCGCGCAATCTTCAGATGCTACAGTTTATTGGCGCATGGGTGGCTGTTGTTAATGACGATGTAGCGGTAGCAAGTAAGGAACCATGTTTTCGTGCTTTAAATTTATTCTGTGCATAGGAATTGTACTGACTGTAGATTAAGAATTCCAAGGTAATCTGTGTATTTAGCCCCAAGGAGGGCGAAACTGACCGTTATCCGTTATCTAATCTGTAATGATTATGGATGCGCCATGAACGCAAGTCTACGTTATGTCATTATTTTCAAATGTCTGCTTTCTGCGTCCATCACTAGCCAAGCGATTCGACAACTAGGTCATTCCGTTGTATTCCTGAGCGACTGAGTAGACGTATGTGGTTGATTGGAATCCAGTTTGGAATGCATGACGTCCACGGTTGTTTTTTAGGCCAGCCACATTTCCAGTCAATTTTTTCAGTGTTGCAGAAGACAAAAGCCATGACTGTTAATTCAGTACGTTGTCGATTGTGTGCGCTCGATGGGCATTCAAAGGACACTGCATGTTATTCGATTCAACCCTCTTTGCATGACTGTTAGTCTCTTCTCCTCAGCGAACCAATTTTGGACGCCGCAGATGATGGCGAGTAGAACGGTTGAATCGAACGGTTCTTTCTTCGCCTTCATGGGCAACTCACCGTCGAGCATCGAAGATTCAATGCGGTTAAAACCGATCCACGACGTTTTCTTTTTGCTTCTGATTTTTCCGTCTGACGATTTCATGCGGTTCATCGACGGATGGGGTTTCTATGCAGAAAATGACGCTTAGATACGAATGGGAACTTTCGAAACAGAGTCCATGCCTTCCTGGTTTGGGCCGGAATTCAAAAGCACCTTATTAACTTATACAGTTCATCGTATAGATTTTGAAATACTTTGCTACCCTCAAATGCGAAGCAAAGAATACTTATTCGGGATGTAATTAAAAATTCGTTATTTTTCCAAAAAGTCTGCTTCAGTACGCGAGCGAAAGAATGTTGACTGTAAAAGTTATGAAATCGTATTTATTCCAAGCGAATTTCACATGTCGCAGGAGCAGCTTTTATAGCGTCACTTTTCTGCCTTGCTTTTGGATTACAGTAATTTTAATCATGCACCTTCTTGCAAGATAATAGTTACAAACACCATGCGCCATTCTGACGATTCAGCGACAGACCAGTCCGTTTATAAACGCAGAAGGTGCACTGAATTCATTTCAATATTTAAAATGACTAATCACCGATAATTGTATTTGATGAAAGTGAGCTGAAATGTCTAAGATAACCTGTCAGCCAATTGTATTTTCTCTGTCATATCCTGCTTCACTAATATTTGAAATATGCGAACGTTTTATCTTTATGTCTTTATCAGTCATCAATAAGCAGTCAGTTCTGTCGAACGAAAACCGATATCGGTCAATCAATAATTTGTAACTTTCACCGTTTTTAGTTCTTTCTGGGGCACGGTGGCACAGTGCCATTGAGATCGGCTTCGAACTAAGGAAGTGCTACGTTCCAATCCCTTCAAGAGACAGCCTTTGTCTTTATGGCAAATTCACTCGAGCAACGAATTAAGCCCACGCTGCTGCGGCGTCACCAGCCGGGAAGTGGGTCTTAAGTCGATGACTTGCGAATAATACGAACAACGTGGTGTTCTCGTCTGGTCATTTCAAAATGTACGAATTGTACGGTCATGCGGCCAAAGTGAGCGCCCCTTGCGGCTACGCTTTATCTTAATCCACCTGATAGATGATTATTCAGCATAGCAATAAATCTAAGAAATAAGGTGTAACCCCCGATTTGCTTCTTTTTTCGCGTTGTTAGAGCTGCAGTTTTTTGACTCTTTCCAATGTTCCCGGTTCTGC